TCTAGCATTTTTGAGGCAAATGTGGATCCCATGGATAATAACCTTATTCACTTGAGATTCGATCCTCAAATGCGACTTGCATAGTAGGAAAAGCAATCCCCAAATCTGAAGAACCTCATGGAGACATACTATGAAAAATTATAATCTTAAAGAATAAAAATCTAAACAAAGGCTTAGATTAACTAAAAGAAATAGATCTGGAACTAAGTTACTAATTTTATAGTTGGATGCCTATTGTAAATGTTCTTTTTGATCCTTTATTTACAAATCCATACAGCAATTTTTGTGGAACATTGTCCAGAAACTGTTGTGGACTCTGTGGATTATAATACAAATATAATCACAAATATAAATATTTTTTATATTTATATACAAATATATTTGAGGAAATAAATATTTTAAATAACCCCAAAATGTATAATTTAAGGTCTAATTCATTAAGATAGATAAGTGCAATCAGAGTTCATGGAATCAAATTATATTCGGTCTTAAAACCAGTTCAGTATTTGAACAAAGATTTTATTTAGCAACAACATTATAGAAGGCATGATACTAAACACTGTGAGGGATGAAATAAACAGGACATAGTCTCTGCCTTCTAGATGCTTAGTATTTAGTAGCAAAGATAAAGCATTTACACAAATAAAGCCTGTGATACATGCTAAAAGAGATTAAAGTGATAACAAAGTACAGAAGAGAGAAATTTCCCACCTAGAGGAAATCAAGAACCACTTCACAGAGAAGAGTTGCTGTCAGGCAAAATGGCAAAATATACATTAAAGCACTCCATAAACTGTAAAATCCTGTTACATCGTTAGATGTTTTTTCTAAGAGCAGAATGGAACATGTTGCACTCTAAATTAGACATCAAGGAGGATATTTGGATTAGGCACTTTTAGATGTAAAAACAGAGGTCTGCTAAGGGTACAGAAACCAAGGAAGTACATTATACTACAGACGAGGAGATGCCAGACAAAGCAGGTCCTTGTGGAGGAAGAGCTGGAAGCTGAAGCTTATTTGGAAATCAAGGTAGCACTGAGGACCCGATCAGCAGAGCTTGTGCCTTTTCACTCCTTGTCTCCACCACTTTAACTTAGTTCTTCACAGGGATTCTCTTCCTTTTGCTACAGAAACATGTGAGCTTGCTTTCTCCCCTGCCTATCTTTTCTTGCTCTGCTTTGTGAGCATTTCTCCATCAGATTCCACTTGTCTTTACCCACCTTGGACTCTACCTTAGGGCTGCTCTCTATATATTTATCTTTTCCAAACCAGGCCATATCAGATATCCCTGTGCAGCTTAAGGATTGCCACCCCTCCCCCGCCTTGACTCAGGTGCCAACCATTCATTGTCCAGTCAGCTTTGATCAGGGGGAAAGGACTCTGGTTCAAAGTTGATCATTTAGTTGTCTTCTTTCATTCACACCTTCATTCATTCACTCTCCTGTTGTTTTATGTACTAGATGATACAATGTAAACAAGATTTGTGTTAAAGTTTTTGTCCTCATGATGCTTTCCTTCTAGTTGGAGTGATAATAGTAAAAGTAAGAAAATAAACAAGCAAGACCAATTCAATTGGTGATAAATGCTGTAGAAGTATTAGGATGTATAATAAGATTGACCAGGAGTGAGGAGGGGAAGAGATGCTAACTGGCTGGGTGGTTACAGAAGGAAGGGGTGCCCTGTGAGAGGAGGAGTTGAGTCACTAGTGTGGTCAATAGTGAGTTATATCGCATACCATAAGAAAAATATACCAAGATTGCTAAGTTATTATACCAGTCCCCCTCCCAACCAAGCTCAAAATTAACTTATCAAGTTTAAATTATATATACTAGCTATTATGAGCTGTGAAGAATCAACTTATAAGTATGTAGAAGCACAAATCCAAGATAATAAAATGACCATTCAGTGATAGATTTCTTACTAGAAATTATGATAAATCAGGTAGGATTCCTACTCCATAAGATTATTGATAGGGAAAAGCCAATACAAAATGAAGGATGTAAAGGCAATTTTACATATAAGGGATCATGATCTTACTATTATCAAATAGAGAGGAAGAAAGGACATTGAATCCCAAGCCAGGTAGGCATCAATCAATCCCACTTTTTGGAAATTGTGAGTAATCCAAAAATGCTTACAATATGTACACATGGTGTTCAATAGAGAGAACATTCCCCAGCCTAAATTTCACTAGGAAAAACACTTTATGTGCATATATTCATGCCATCCCTGTTAGGAACATTATTTAAAATCAAAATCCTTTCACTTTACCATTTATTTAGCTTAAATGCACTATAATTTCCACACCTATATCTCACAAAAATATAATTTTTGTCAGAAGTTTTCCTCAGTTTAAAGGTTACATTCTCAGATCCTGCCATCTTTCTACATCATCCTAAATTCATATAAAAACAGGTAAGTAGCATGACTAAAATATTTTGTTTCTTTGTTTTTTTATCGTAGGCAGGATCATGTAATTACCAGTCACGGCTTGTCTAATTTTACAAATACTGGTGGAAATTGTTCAGTAGGTCACTTTTTTTGACTGACCTTTTCCTACATCCATCACTAATTCCCCTTCACCAATTAGTTTACATTGAGCTTTCTTCTGCAGAATGATCTTTTTTCTACATCCATTCTTTAGACATTCCAGAATTAGGACTTTTTATATGATTTGGTTTGTATGTACATTTATGAGAATTAAACAATAATTTCTCTTGGGAAACAGCATAGTGCAGAAAAAAGACCTGCATTAAATATTTTTACCATAAATAGTTGAGTGACTATAAGCAAATTATTTAACTTTTCTGAAGCTCAGCTCCTCAATGATAAAATTTATGATTAAGAGAGATGGTGTATGTAAAATTTGGGGCACAAATTAAGAACTTAGTGAACTTAGTCCTCTTTCAGGGTGGCATAATTTTCTAAGTGTCCAATTGATTATAGGAGGAAAAATAATGTACTCTGAGTTCAGTATAATACATGGTTTAGAACTTAACATGAACAGTCTTAGAGTGCACATTATTTACTTGGTGGATAAAATGGCTACCTTAGACATATTAATACATATCAAAATGCATGTTTCAGAAATGTAGAAGTTATTATAAAAATTGCTATAAAATACTTACAGGATACTTGTCTGTTTAAATATGATCCATCTGCTATTTGCATTTCACAAAGTAACATGAGCAATTACATTTTCTTCTTTGGCTAATTTTATACTACTCATTGGCTAAACCTCATTTTCTCATCTAAACTAGAATTAAGTTATATAAAGAGGAAACTCAATAATGCTTAGTTTCAGTCTCTTTTTGGCTGAGAATTTATCAAACACATTATTTAATTCAGTGGAGACAATGTTTTGTGACCATAAATATTCAGTTCAGAAATCTGAACTATTATTTTCCAATATGACTGAGTCACAAAGTGTTAAAACAATAATGATTTGCCTTTGATTGGCTTTCTCACCATGATGATCTCAAGAGGCTAGAATTTGGAAGCAGAATATAAATTCCCTTCTCGAGGTTAAAAATTTTCTAACTGTGTGATCCTGGAAAGTTACCTAACTTTTCTGAGGCACGGAACTCTCATTTGTAAGACTGGTAATAATGTCTACTCCACTTCCTTCACAGCTATTTTGAGGACCAAATGAAATGATGCACATAAAAGCACTCAGAAAACTCTGAAACACTGAAACAGGTTGGAAGAAACTGGGCAGAGTAGTGGCTCCTATCTTTTTGTTCCCATAGCTGGCTGTTCACTGCACTCCCCAGTATTATAATTATCTGTTCTCATGCCTGAAACATAATACAATAGCAGGAGGAGAGTAGAAACCTGAGGTCTGTGAAGCTCCAGGCGAAACCATCTGCCATCAGCAGCCAGGAAAACCTGGGTTCAAATCACTTATTTTACCAAAAACAATGTTATCTTTGTGATGTTTTGTGATGTCCAGCTTCTGCAAGGGGACTCACAAAGGAGACGTATGGAAGACAAAAGGCAGCTAGCCAAGAGGTTGTCCTGGCTGGTGGCGTTAGCATCTCCACTTCTAGAAGGTGAGGGAAGGGGTGGCTCATGGTATTCACATCCCAACCAACAGATAAGTTTAGTGGCTCCAGAGTAGCCCACTGTCCACCATAAAAATCCCTGAGCAAGAATGAGAAATTGGTCCAAGGTTGGAGTATTAGAGGATTTTTACATTTATAGGCCAAGATAAATTGGTGAGGCTTAATGGGAGACATTGCAGGGTACTTTGCCCCAGGCAATGGTTGTTCTGATGTTACAGGAGAAAGCCTGCTCAATCTCACGAACATCTCTCTCTCCCCCACCCTCCAAGAGCCAAAGTCTGTACTTAAAAAAATAAATAAATAAAATCCCTAATTCCTGATTTTGGACCAAATGGTCAGATTTCTACCAGGTTAATATCAGGTAAAGGGGACCCACTCAAATGCACTCTCTTGACAGAAAGGCAAGTTGATTATTACACCTGCTCTTTCCCCCTGTCAAAAGACTGCAATCCTCCCCTTCCCCCATCCTCCTCAAAAAACAAGCAGAAACCATCTGAGACAGAGCCATTATTTGTATATGGTATTTGTGTGCACCTATCTACCATGTTCTTACTTCTATTAAGGAATGTTTGTCTGCCAACATTTTCGTATTTAGCAGCAAGTCTCTTCTTGACAGACTAAGAAAGGGGCCCACAGAGGAAAATTCATCATCTGATTAAGGCTTTCAGGCCAATTAAAACTCTCTAGACAGTATACGCTTTCCTTCACTTAAATTTCAGTGAACAGAAAGTAGATTATCTCTTCAGGCAATTATCAACTCTGAAAGTGCTTGTGGTTTCAAGATTTGGGCACAACTTGCTGAAAACAGCATCATCATAATACAGTTGTACAAACACTAATTTCAATGGCTCTTTTGTCCCACATGATATATGATCAAATTTAGGAAGGTCTGTTTCCCCCCCTCAGGGTCATTTCTTTTTTTTTTTTTTTCCACAGAGCCAATCTGCATCACTTAAGTTCAAACTATTACATTAGCCAACCTTTTCACTAGACTAGAGAACTTCTTTTTAATTGTCCATATCATGGCCACCATGCATCAAAGGTAGGACCATTATTTTCCACTTATTTTCTCTTCTAGAGAACCAAATTCTTACAGGAGGAGTTTTTAGGGTTGGGAAGAGGAGAGTGTCTGAGACCGGGAGCAGATTCTATCATCAGCAGTCTGATCTGGGTCTGTAAATATGCCAAGCCAGGGACACTTCATACAGTTCTGTATTCGGGTTTCAGTTGGACTTGTTTTCCTTACAGACATAGGGTAGACTCACTGGGACTTGATCCAGAGACGGGCATCCGATGGAAGCTGCCTGAATAATTTTGCATCTTTATTATTAGAGCAGTATGATGCTAGTTTTCTGGGGCACTATGGTCTCGCTTAAAACATGTATAAACTGCTTTATTAGAGATTATAGCACTATTGGGAAAGAAAACAAAAGTGATCATTTATATGATAATGTAAGCTGAGAATTTAGGAATGATTCATTCTCATAAATGCTCCAACACCGCCATGTAAGTTTATTGCTTAGTACATATGGTGGAACAGAAGTTCTATCCAGAAAGTAAAGCCTTTTATAAAATGATCTTTAATTGATTTTTTTTCTCTAAATCGTAGAGTGATATATAAAACTTGGTATGATTTTAGGGTGTAAAGATTGCCACAGCTTCCCTTCCCCCAGTTTCTCTGCTCCATCTCCTCTGCCTCTTCAGACTGGGGAAGCTTCAGGGACCAAGAGGGGATACTGGGAGGGTAACCAAGTTTGGGGTGGAGGATTATGACTAGATGAATTTTAAGGTTCCCTCCAACCCTGACTTTCGCCTGCCCTAAGAGATAGAAATAATTTCCAGCTGCAAACACCAGTGGAGATCCCAGTTAAAAAGGAATTTTGTGATATTCCAGTGGACAGTGGGGGGGGGGGGCGGAAAGCAGGAATTGTGGTAACAGGTTAAACAGGGAGTCTGAGGAAGGACTATTTTAGTCAACATTTTATTTCAGCTTAAAATAAATCCTGGGTCTTTAGAAGTCAGTTTTTGAAGGCAGTCTCTTCTATTACAATCTTTCTCAGAAGATGAGAAAGGGGTAAGGGGTGGGAGTTTTTCTAGAAGCATGTGGAAAAAAAAAAAAGATGAAAAAATAATCTCTCCTAATAAAAGAAATAGGATTGATACAATTGTGTGATAAAATTGTGTAGTGATTAAAAACCCTATCATTTTTTCAGATACATCAATAGCTAAATACAAATACATTCTCACTAAACATGTTTCTTTTCAATGTTTCTCTAGTAGCCCAAGTAATATATGACCACATGCCCTTTGCATTACTTACACAAAAAGTAACCACTACTAACATGTTTTTTAATATTTTTTCTACATTTACATATATTTTATGTCATGGTTTTTATTTTTTTACAGGAAATATACCAATCTTTTCCCTTATGGTTTCCAGGTTTGATGTCAAGATTAAAACAATATTCCTTTATACTTTTTCTAGGATAATAGAGTTTTTTGTGTTTAGAATATTAATCAACCTGGAATTTGTTTTGGATGATATCAGAGGAATATTGTTTTTTATTTTTCTCCAAATGGGCCTAACAGTCTCCTCTTCCTTTCCTGATTTACAATGCCACATTTATCACATAAGCATAGTAGATGGGTTGGAGGGCATGATTTGCACCCTATTCTGCTCCGTTGGTCTATTTATCTATTCCTCTACTAATACCATATGGGTGTTAACTTCTTCAGTTTTTGTACATTTTTCTATGAGGGAAAATCTTCACTTAAAGATTTTTGTTTTAAAGATTTTATGTATTCATTTGAGAGAGAGAAAGAGAGAGAGCACAAGCAGGGGGAGAGGCAGAGGGAGAAAGACTCCCCACTGAGCTGGGAGCCCCACATGGGGCTCAGTCCCAGGACCTGGAGATCATGACCTGAGCTGAAGGCAGAAGCTTAACCATCTGAGCCACCCAGGCACCCCATTCATTTAACCATCTTTAATAAATAACTCCTAATAAATTTTCCAATAGAGATGGATTATCCCAGTCTGAGCTAAGGCCGGGGCAGTGCTGGAAAATCCAGGATGGAAGAAAGAAACCCTGGAATCCGAGGATCTTTCTTCCTCAACAAACAGAATTCTGTGGGTTCACTCCACTTTCCAGTGATCTTTCTGTCTGAGGGTCCAGGTGACTCTGCCACTAGGCCATGGCAAGTAACAGAACACCTGAAGAAGCCAAGGAATATAATCTTCACCAAAATCAGGCCCTGCCTTTCAGTCGGTCAGAGCCTAGCAGGAAAAAAAGGCACCCAGATAGAAGAGGGGCTCATTCTAACTTGGAGTTGAATGAGAGGTTCAAATCCCTGCCACTATCACCTGAAGGAAAAGTAGAAGTTTCCTGTGAGTGAATAATTCATTTCACTGATAGGAGAGAGAAAGGATTTTCAGGAAACTTTGAGCAAGGAGATGATAGAAGGTACCTAAACTGTCCCCTAGGAATGTGTTAACAAACCAAATGAAAGCTTCTTTGTTCACTTCTCACGACATATCCTCTACAGAAGCAAACTGGTCTTTGTAGAAAGGAGACCTCTGTTAAAATAATGATATTTATTAAATGTTTATTATGTACCAGACACACATATGTATGTGTGTATACATATAATTTTTAATATTTTAATTTATATATAATACAGTTTACATATAATTTATATTTTAATGTGTGTGTGTGTGTATCTTAATTTCTTCCATGACAAGCACCCTCGAAGGTAGCTATTACGATTTTCATTTCACATTTGAAGACACGGAGGCTGAGCTTCCCCCCCAACATCATGGCTGTCGTAGGCATTACTACACCACTCTCAGCCTTGGGCTCCTCGTGGAGAAAACAGGAGGGTCCTGCAATGGACTACCATGAGTAATTTTTGAGCTAATGGCTATAAAACAGGCAGCGGAGGGCCCGGCTCCTAGAAAGTACTCAACAGCTGATAACCGTTCGGGTCATACAACTAAGTGGCCCGATAGGTCTCTGCATAAAGTGATTCCCCTCAGGCTCAAATCAAACACTAAATACTTATTAGGTTGTTTTGTTTTCAAACCATCTTCTACAGCCTTTAAAAAAGGCCCTTTATAAAAATAAAAGCAAGTTTATCTAAAAAGAAAATGATTTAAAATACAAGCTCATAACAAATAAATATAATAGGTTTTTACTCCAACATTTCAACCACTCAGCTCTCACCTTCCAAGCCTGCCAGTCAGGTCAACAGCAGGTTTCTAGACCCCAGGTTTCTTTTCTTTTTTTTTTTAAGATTTTATTTATTCATTTGAGACACAGAGATACAGAGAGAGAGAGAGAGCATGAGCAGGGAGAGAGGCAGAGGGAGAAGGAGAAGCAGGCTCCCCACTGAGCCAGGAGCCTGATGCGAGGCTCAATCCCAAGACCCTGGGATCATGACCTGAGCCGAAGGCAGATGCTTAACCATCTGAGCCACCCGGGCACCCCTAGACCCCAGATTTCTGATAAAAGCACTAAAAAGCATTTGGTTTTGTCAGCACACGTGGCTCTGCCTGAGCCCACATTCAAACCCTGAGATTGTGCTGATTCGACTGGAGCCGCTTAAGGAGCCCACAGACAATCCCCATCCATAATCCCCAGGCAGAAACAGCCTCCACATCACAGGTGGGGACTCAGACCACGGCCTTCATTCAGCGAGCCCAATCAGGATCCACTCCCATCTGAAAAAGGACTGTGTGAGGCCCTCTGGAAAGGCAGAGACCCATTCAGATCAGTTTTATGACCACGGCCCAGAGTAGCCATTCCATAGATGCCTCCTGGTTAATTGACCGAAATGGCAGGGCAAAGTGAAAGCCTGGTCACTGAACTCCCTTCTGCCATTCTCTAAAGCAAGAGGCCTGAAGAAAGTCCTAACATTTTAAATTGTTCATTATGAGCTAGAAACTTTTTAATGATCTTTTTATCTAAACTTATCAAAAGATGAGATCAAGTCAGATCCGCTTCCATATCCATACACTCAAAACAGCCCACAAGTGTGACAGAGAGGAGGGTTGGCCTGAGATTAAAATGCCATCCCCTTAGATTTAAACCTTGGGAACATTTAACCAGAAAAATTGCATATCACCTTTCTCATTCTTCCTCTTATTCCCACTTCCCCTCCCTTGTTTGGTGCCAAAAAGACAGAGACACAAACGGGCAGTTGAGAGGAAAGAAGGGAGAAGGGATATTTTCAAGAAGAGTGGGTGGGACAATTTTACCTGTCCATTCACCTTATTCCTTTTTTCTCCCCTTCATAAACACTATTACATTTAAAAATTAAACATCGGTTTGGTTGACACTGAATTTGGGAAAGGGAGGAGCTTTCAAATTTTTCAATTTTTCAAAAATGGGTGCTTTTTGTTTTATGTTTGTAACTTCAGTTTCTGTCATACCATAACGTAATTGCATTAAATTATTTTTGGACAATTAAGGGAGAACATCACCCATTGTCCCACCACTCAGAACTAATAATAGCTGACCACTTAATTGAAAACTTTCTATGTGGCAGACACTTCACCAAGAGCTTTGTACATTACCTTGTTTAATCCTATAAACTATAGGATTGTAGTTTATAAAATAACAACACTATAAAATAAGTACTATTATTATCTTCTCTCTGTAGTTGAAATTAAGGCACAGAGTAGTTATTTGCCAGAGTCACACAGCTTATAATTGGTTAAAACAGTACTCAGAGTCTGATTCCAATGCTCATGCCCTCAACCATCCTCCTTTCATCTAATACTTTAATCACTTTTTAAAATAAAGTTGACCTCTAAACAAACCCCCTGTCCTCATGCAGTTGAACATCCACATATACTAATAGCCTACTACTGTTGATCAGAAGCCTTACCAATAACATAAGCAATTAACACATATTTTGCATGTCATATGTATCTAAACTGTATTCTTACGATAAAGCTAAAGAAAAGAAACTGTTAAGAAAATCATAAGAGAAAATGCATTTACAGTAGTGTACTGTATTTGTTGAAAAAAAAAATCTTTGTAG